GCGCCCGGCCTATTTTTATTTTTATTGAGACAGAGTTTTGCTCTGTCACCCAGGCTGGAGTGCAGTGTTGCAATCTCGGCTCACTGCAACCTCCACCTCCCGGGTTCAAGCTAGGATTACAGGTGCACGCCACCACACCCAGCTAATTTTTGTATTTTAGTAGGGATGGGATTTTGTCATTGTTGGTCAGGCTACTTTTGAACTCCTGACCTCAAGTGATCCTCCTGCCTCGGCCGAGTTCCATGTTTTCTCTCATCGAGGTGTCGACCCAGCTGGCAGAGACAAGTGCTGAACACACAACCACATAAACAACCTTGTTCCTGTGGGGAAGGAGGTGAGATGGTACCGGAGTCACCTCAGGGCCCTGTGAGGAGGAGGCCGTCCCTCCTGAGGCTTGCATCCTGCTCTGCTTGCATCCTCCATGGCTGCAAGGCCCTCCGTGAGAAGCCCAGGCCACCGGGTCTGGCCTCCTTTCTGGTCTGGGCTTGCTCTGCGCAGGGCCTCACATGAGCTGTAGGCCCCCAGCAGCCTGTGTCCTCCAGATGTCCTTGCAGCCTGCCCACCTCCTTCAAGGCCTTGCTCAACTGCCACCTCCCCAGAGAGGCCTCTGTGACCAGCCCCTCCCTTTACTGCATGCCTCCTTGCCCACACATGGGAGCAGGTGCCACAGGAGCAGGTGCCAGGAGAGCGAATGCCTTGGGAGCGGGTGCCATAGGAGCCACGGGTGCCACAGGAGCCACGGGAGCCACGGACACAGGCATTTGTGTCCACTTCCTCCCCCACTCCTTCCTCAGGCTGAGAACAGCAAGTGGAACGTGGCAGGCATCCCTCCAGAGCTGTCAGGAGCAATGGAATTAGACACCGGGGTGGGCTGGGAGGTGGGATGCTGAGGCAATGGGGGGCTGGGCCAGTCAGAGGTGAGTGCAGGGGAGGGACCTCCAGGCAGAGAAACTGGCTTGAGCAGAGGCTCTGAGGTGGAGGTTTTAGGTGGGTGAGGAGCAGAAGGCCAACGTGGGTGGCTGAGGAAAGGGCAAGGAAGAAGAGCAGGAGTGCAGCACCAGTGCCAACCAGGGGCCTCGAAGCTCCGCTCCAGGAGCAACCCCAGAGCGTGTCCACCTCGTCCCGGACGGGCCACGCCTTGAGGTGCTGATGGCATCCCAAACTCCACTCCCCAGAATCAGCCCAGGCTCAGCCACATTGGCCTGGGCTCCTGCAGAAGCCGGCCTGGAGACGAGGAACTGACTGCAAGCGGACCATTTTGGGGGCAACCCCAGGAAGCCCCCCAGGGCAGGGGAGTGAGATGGGAGGGCAAGATTCCCGAGGAAGCAGGTGCCACCTGCCAGTCACTGCCGAGGGGAGTGACACCTCCTCCAGATGGGGGTCTCTGGGGAACCGTGGAGCACAGCTCAGAGCTGCCCCAGGGCTGGGAGTGAGCTATGTGCATGCTGGCTCCCTCCAGCCATCAGACAGATGCTCCCTGACTTGGGGCTGCAGCAGCCAAACAGAGGTGGGGCCTGGCCGGTGGACACGCCCTCCCCTCCCTCCCCTTCAATCTCCTCCCACTCTCCTCCCTCCCCTCCATCTCCTCACCCTCCCCTCCCAACCTCCTCCATCTCGTCTCCCTCCATCTCCTCCCCTGCCTCCATTCCGTCCCACCCCTTCTCCCCTCAGATTGGCTGCCTCCCTCATCCCTTCCATTTCGCTCCACGCTCCCTCCGCCTCCCTACCTCCTAGTTCCAATCCTATCCTCCCCATACTCCTCCCTCTCCCATCACTCCTCTCATCCACCTGTCCCTCATGTCCCCCCTCCAGTCCTCCTCATTTCCCCTCCTCCCCTTCCATTTCTCATTCCCCGGCCTCCATCGTCACCTCCACTTCTCTTCCCTCGCTCCCCTCCACCTCTTCGCGCCACTGCCCCTCCCACTTGGCCGTCCAATTCTCTCCCCACCCGCCGATGGTCAGTCCCCGTCCATCGTCCAGTTCTCATCTGCTCCGCCTTCCGGCCGTCCCTCTCTGTTCTTCCCCCTCGCCTCCCTCCGTCTCCCGGGCCTACCCCTCCATTTGCTCCCCCCCTCTCTCCCTTCCGCGCTCGCATCTCTTCCCCGTGTCCTCCCTTTCCGCGTTATCCTTCTACCTCCGCTCGACTCCGCCCCCTACCCCTCGCATCTGCTTCCGCCGCAGCTTGACCCTGAGTCCTCCCTTTTCCCTGCCCGCTGCCTAGTCCCCTCCCATTTCCCGTTCCCGTCCCCTCATCTCCTTTCCCCTCCCTTCCCTCTCCTCATTCCTCCCTTCACCTTCCCTCCCCTCCATCTCTTCCCCACGTCCCATCCCTTCCTCCCACTTCCCCTCCCTTCGTGTCTCTCCTCGCCCCTCCTATCCCTCACATCCCCTCTTCCCTCCCCCTCTATCTCCTCCCCACTCCCTTCCATCTCCTCCTCCCTCCCCTCCCTCCTTCACCCTCTCCTCCCCATTCCCCTCTTCTCCCTCCATCTCCTTCCCACTCCCCTCCCCCTCCACCTTCTCCTCACTCCCCTCCCTCCTCCTCCATTCCCTCCATCCCCTCCCTGCTTCCCCTCCACCTCATCCCTACTCCCCTCCCTCCCCCTCCCTCCCCTCCCCCTCCCCCTCCATCTCCTTCCCACTCCCCCCTTCCCTTCCATCACTTTCCTATTCCTTCGCCTCCTCCTGGTCCCAGAAGGCCGGCAGGAGAAGCCTCATTTCCTCCTGCCTGGGTAGACACAAGCAGGTTTAAAAGAAAACAGGCGCTAACGGGAAAAACTTCAGAAAACCCGCAGGACAGAAGAAAACCTGACTTCCTTCTCCCGTGGCTGAGGAGCCTCTCCGGACAGCCCGCTGCAGTCGGGGGACAGTGGCCAACCCCTCCCTGCGGGCCGTCTCTGGCTGCCCCGGTCCACGTCACCCCCAGTGTTGTACTTTCTCTCCCCAGAGGCAGGTCTATGTGGGCACCTGGCCCTACTCATGAGTAAATGCCACAGCCCCCGGGGGCAAGAGCTTGTGGTGAGCAGGATTGTTCCCTGTAAATATTAGCGATCATTAACAATCATTAGTTAGAATGATAAACAAATGATTGAGGGTGACAGTAGGAAGGTTTCTTGGGAGTGGGTTCCCAGTGGGACATAGGGGGCCTGGCTGAGCCGTCTACCTCACCCTCACATGGGATCAGAGCCTCTCACACCCACCTGGGCTGGGCGGAGGCTGGTTCTGAGCCAGACCCACCCCATCCACAGGATGAGGCTCCGATGGAGAGGCAACCCCGGGTTCTGGTGTGGAAAGGGCTGCAGGGTGTCCAGCTCTCCAGAGTGGGTCAGTATCCACCACCTACCTCATCTTTGCCAGGAGGACCCATGACACCGGGCCTTGGTGGTTGGGTTGAACTCCTTGCTCCTCTTTCCTCGGGACCCTGAGTGAGTCATATCCTACTCCGAGGTCCACATCTGTAAAGTGGGGACCACCATGCTGACCTCACATGCCGTGACACGGGCTAGAGACAGCGTGTGGCTGTGTCCAGCACAGTTGTTGGCCCATAGCCCTGTCGCACTGGGCGGGTCTGCCCAGGGAATGGACAGGTGAACCTGCAGGCTGTGAGGTGGGGTCTCCACATGGCTGTGACACGTCTGCGGAAGTTCGGGGAGGGTGGCTCCTCTGTCCATGGTGCTGAACCCTCATCTTGCTGGGAAACATCACTTTCCCCCATCCCTGAGCCCCACGAGTGAGCCAGGTGGCAGGAAGAAGGTGCTGGGAGAAAAGAAAAGGCAGAGAAAGGGAAAAGAATCAGGAAGAGAGGGGAGAGATAAAGAGAAAGAGGTGGAGAGAAAGGAAGGCCAAAGAGGCAGAGTGAAGGAGAGAGGAGGCAGGTGGTCTGAGAAGCCAAGGAGGGCACCTCCTCGAGACAGGACAGAGAGCAGCTTTTGTTTTGAGATCATTGTTCTGACATTACCCTCTCTAAGGAGCATGTTTCCCTGTGGTTATTTACCACCATCCTTCCCAAGTGTTCCACCTGTGGGTCCCGGGCAGGTCTGTGTATGAACAGAGCTGTCATTTATGTGCATGAGATGTGTGGATAGAG